TTTGGTACTGAGATTCGATTCTGGAAGGGGATTTACGAGCAAAGCTACCGCCGATTAAAAACACGTCCGCCGACTGGGAAATTTGCCTCGCAACTGAAACTCGTTTGGCCGCTTGGCTTTTGGCCATCCACAGAGCGATGAGAGATAATGTACTATAAAAACCAACAGAGAACAGTGAGACTCTCTGGAGAAACTGGTTTTGTTTCAGGGGAAACAACAAGAACTTCAGTTATATCAACAGCGAACTCACCTGAGCAAACGCAAACCCGAAAACCGAAAACCCGAAGCGAACTCAAATCCGAAAACGGGGGAGTTTGTCTTGTAGTTGTAGTAGGCCAAACAGGTAAATGTCTTGGCCGAGCAGGTAAACGACTCTTGGGTCTCTCATTTCTCACTTTTCACTTCTCGATCTCTCCATCTCTCAACTCTCAATTCTCAGCGTCTCAGATTTACTCACGCAAAACACCCTGTACCTGAGATTTGTACCTCAACCCAAGTGACAAATGATATGAAATGAAATTAAATGAAATGAAATGAAAAAAGTGCCCATCATCTTGGTGCATAGACAATAGACCAGAATAATAATAAAAATATAATAGTCGAAACCAGTCTTGAAGTCTGTGGCCATGGTTGTCTGGCAGATTTTGAAGATCTTGCAAATCTTCAGACTCATGAGTCAGCCTGTAAAAGCGGAAACGCCAGCCAAACGCGTGCGCATGCGCAAACTCTACAAAAAACCCTGCGATTCCATGGAAAACCTTAATAAATTCAATCAAGCGTAAGCCTTGTGGCCCAAATAAAAGGGATTAAAAACAAAATGAAGGAAAAATCTGGGTTTTATCTCAGTTGTAGGTGAGTGGCGCGGTAAAAGTGAGACACGTTATCGTGCCCCAAAAAAAGATGCAGTTCTAAAACAAACAACAAAAATATATAAAGGGGCATAAACAAAAGGCCTCTTTCTTGGCTGGATTCAAAAGTTTAAGACCATCCACCCGCCAACGAGTTCATGACTCAAAAAAAAGAAGCGGCAGTTGGGGCTTTGGAATATGGAAACTGGAGTCAAAGAGTGACTCATGGAGTGACTAGCCAGTTGATTGATTGCGGCCCAAATCAATTGCACACCGAAGTGAGATGCAGCAGTGAAAGGAATTGCACTGGATTTGTTTACATAATGGCAATAAATGCATATTAATATTTTCTGTAAATCAAATATTTAGCTTTATGGTCAAAAACGGTTGCCTTTGAAAGTAAATACTCAAAAAAATCCTAAGAAAATCCACAACTGTATTGAAAATGATTGAAATGATCAAGCACCTGTAAAAACTTCAGCTAATCATTGTCTAAAATTTCTATTCCCTTTAACATTTTACCCAAAAAAAAAGAAAAACACAGAACTGATCAATCAACTTTGGCTGAGACGTTTTGACCATTTGGAGAGTATAGAAATCGGATGGCATAAAAAACAAAACACTGACCACTTTGATGGATGAACACGCTGAGGGTTCTTTTTCTAATATGTCAAATGCAAAATTAGCTAAAATATCAAACAAAAAACCGAATAAAACTATTGAATAATTGATGGATTCTCCGCTGGCGATTGACTGCATTTCTTTGTCAAGGCGGTAAATAAAACGCTGTACGAATGAAAAAACCTTCATATCGCACGTCGTACGAATATATTGAAGACAATAAAAAGCAGAAAATAAAACAAAAAGCCCAAAATAAAGCTTAACAAAATTAAAGCTAAAGAGCGGCAAAGTACATGGGTTTTTTCTGTTTCGTTTCGTTTCGTTGTATTTTATTCATCTTGGCTGAAGAGTGAATCACGCTGATTGAGATACGACGATGATGGAAATAGATTAGCACCTCCGTGCCCTCCGATCGGCCCCACCCACATATATGTAACATATATACACTATATAGTACACTACATCTCCTTTTTTCATGACAATAATGCCTTTTTATGGCGGCACTGGCCAAACAACGCATAAAAAACCCCGAAAGGCTGTTTGTTTGCACTTACTTTAGATGCATTCGAGATTAGGCACTACGAGGGCAGTCTATCCAAAAAATCTGGAGTACCCATATTTTGAGGGCAAACATGGCTTATCCGCCGAGAGTGGCACACGATCAAGGGACTTTCAATAGCACTGATTTTTTCCCGGTAAAGAGGACATTGTTGTCTGGTGGTTCGCCGCTCTAATGACTTTGTCCTTTGGTTTTCCACTGTTTCTCTTCACTTTTCTGGAAAAGTCGGCGTGAAAAGTCAGCGGCCTAATGGGAATTGTGCATTGAGGCAGAACGTACAGCAGTCGAGACGATTTTCCATCAAGTTCCCGGTCGCCGGGTTCTCTTAACCCCCTTAAATGTCTGGTATACACTAAATATAACCATCAGCGTGGGGAACGGTCAAAATGCGATCGCGATCGCAATCGCAATCGTGGGAGTTTCCCAGCTCAAAAGGGGCCAATGTCTTCGCCGAACGACGATTTTCATAATTAAATAGTATAGCGTTGTGTTGTGTTGTGTTCTTCCCGCGGGAAAGGTGGAGTAAAAACAAGTGGGCAAGTGGGCACTATGGTTACCAGGGGTTCTGCAGGGGAATACTCGGCAATATGAAGGTGCAGAACAGTCAAAACAAAGCAGGCAAACAAAAACAAAGCAACCAACCAGCCAACCAACCAACCAACCAGCCAACACTTTCCACTTCGTCGTCATCAGTGTTTAAAGAGCGCAAAGAGGGAAAACCGGAGAGGCACAGTGGGCACCCTGTATTGTGGCCAGAGCGTAGCGTCTTGGCCCGAAAAGTACAGTCGCGCTTTGCCTTTTGTTTGTTTGTATGTTCGTATGTTGGCGGCGGCGGCAGCCAAGAGTTTTTCCCGAACGTCACGAGTTTGTCGCTTGCCCACAGGGGTTAGCATGCTGCCACGACGGAAGATGCAAGATGGAGGATGGAGGATGGTAGCTGGTGGCTAGAGGATGGAATAAGGAATATGGAAGACGCTTCTCCGGGTTTGGGCCTCTGTTCTATGTGGGTCCTCTTCTTCTGGCCAATGATCACAGAGATAATGAGCATGCTCATCATCCGCTGCTCTGGTTTGTATTTGTGCATGATCGCCATCCCCTCAACTTACTTTTCTCTACTCAGTTTTTCCACTTTATGGAAATCGTTCTTCATGATCTCTTTCTGATGACTTGATGATATTTTCAGTTTTGTATATTAATGAATTTTATTCAAATTCAAAATCAAAAGAGAGGTGGTTGACTCAAGTGAAACATGACCTGCAGTTTGCAAAATATAGATTTATAGAGAGATTACATTTCAATATAACGATGCATAGACTGCAAATGTGACCTTTTATTAACATTTAATTATTTGACTTTTGAGTTTAAGAAAACTTGTTAAGCCTTGCACCTTAAAGGTGATCAAAATATTAAAAATCAATAATCAATCAATAATTAGTTTATAAATTTAAATGTACAATGATTTATTTGAGCTTTAGTTTTGTTCTCTTAAAATGAGTAGAAAATCAGTTCTGCCAATATTAATTTATAAATTTTATTGTTGTACAATCATTTATTTTTGTTTTTTATTAGGCAAGTCTTTTTAGTGCTTTCTTTAATTTTTTGAGAGATGCTTAATAATAAGTAAATCTCAAATCAATAAGTAAATATCAAACAATCAACAATTGACATGCACAGCAATGTTATATCTTATCTTGAATAAATTAGTATAAGGCCAGTGGAGTTTATTGACTCCCTCTACGATTTCCAAAGGGCATTTGCATAATTGCGCCTGACTCGAGTTTAATGTATGGTTTAACGAGGTGAGAACACGACAAACGAGCCGCTGGAAAGGCAGTCACGCTAGAGGGTCCTGCAAGGGTCCTGAAAGGCGTGACCAGTGGCCCAGGACTACAGGATCCCATGACTTATCCTGGGCAGCGATCTAAACACCCCCGGACATGCGAAGTTATGGTGGAGGGGGTGTGAACCTGCCAGGTATAGTCATTCAGTGTTGCATTTTTTCGGGATTGCCGATTTAAGGATTTCACATTTTTTCCCGCTGGATTTCCCCAGGCTCTGGGAAACTGAAAAATTGGAAAACACATAGAACACAAAGCCTGGGGAAAAAACTCACAAAACGCACTTGAGCAGCTGAACAGATGAACAGTTGAACAGTTGAGAAAGGGGCTGCGTGTGAACAAATTGTGATTTTTCCGGAGACGAAGACAAGACAGCATGTTGGCAATTAAGGTGCTGCCAAGCAGTCGGAAATCGGCTGCGGAAAATCTGTGGAAAAGCCGAACAGGCGACTGGGAAAAGTGACCTGACCCTGGCGTTTAATTGCTTTATTAGGGTCTTCAGGCTAACGAGCGAAAAACCTGAGAGAATTTAAGACATGGCCGTAGTCCTCAGTGGCGCCACCTATCAGGGAAAACTTTCGGTAGGTCCAAAAGTATGCTGTAGATTTATGTATAATCTGGAAACTTCGAATTTCTCAGTTATAAATGGCAGCTCAATCAGTTATTATATACAGTAATAAGTAATATTTGATTTTATATTAAAATTGTATACCTAATTAATATAATTATAGTAATAATGCGTTTTTGGGATTAGTAAATTATATATAAATTATATTCGTTCTTCTAATTTAATATTTCTGTGTACTTCGTATATTGCCTTACATTTACAAGAATTTGTTTCATATTTAAAATTATTATTTAAACGAAACTGTTCCCAGGAGTCTTTTTATGCCCTTCGATTGGTTTAAGTCTTGGGTGGCTTGGATGGATGTCTTAGATAACGATAATTTAGTATTTGAAAGATAATTTTGTAAGACTCAGTTTTCTTGATACTATTTGTTTCTTAATAATGTCACAAAAATATAAATGTTTCATATTCTTTAAAGATATTTTATTTAATAATATGTTATCTGTTCTCAGCAATGTCTTTTATGGTTTGCGTCTTGGTTACCGAATACCGAATTTCGAACTTACCTTTAGAGCGCAGAAGATGCAGTCTTGGCCACCGCAAACGTGCTGATTTAGGCCGCGAAACGATCGTCGAAAGGCGTCCAGGTGCCACAAGACCTGCAAAAGAGAACGGACGGGTATTACCAACTTGGTTTGGATGGGTTTGGTTTGGTTAACAGAGAAGAGAGTCAAGTTTTGGGGCCGCAACAGTTATCTCCATCAAATCTCTGTGTGTATAACAGAAGAGAGGCCCAAACCGGTTAAGACGACGCCATCTTGCCGACGATATCTTCTGTGTGTGTGTGTTTGTGTGTGTGTGCTAAGACAAAGGCTCAAACACCGAACGCTCAAGAGAGTTGCCCAAAAGTCGCGCCACAAAGTGCTGGCCAAAAACCAGTTTCGTACTCGGCCACAGTCACCGTCGTCGTCACAGCCACCGCCACAAAACTGCAAAATGCTTAAATAGCCAGCCAAAAGCCATCGAAATCTTGGACTTCTCAGACGCGGGTTTTGAGTTTTGAGACTGAGACCGATACTGAGACTGGGTGGCCGGGTAGCAGACCGATCGAGACTGGAAAACCCGTCTGAAGTTTCTCTTCGAACGCGACTTTTGGCGGCCTTTTCGTTTTTCGTCTTTCGCTGTTGGTTTCGTTTTTTGAAGTCAGAGTTCAGCTAGGATGAATCACGGCCCCCAGTCGTCGATCTATCAATTAAGCCATGCCAAGGGCTGTAATTAACAATCGGCCAGGTGAGAGCTCCGCTCCCTTCTAATGCCAAAAAGTACGATTCAATTTGGAGCAGCTCCGAAAAATATATAACACACAAAAAAAAAAAAAACGGAAACCGGTCAGCAAACAGTTAGAAAACTTAGGCACCCATATAGTATATAGTAATGTCCAGTCGCGGCAGCTGCCATACCCACAAGCCCCCAATTCCCCAGGTCCCCGCTAACAAAATCTCCGAGCACGAGCCTGTTTTTTGGCCAACAGAAAAGAAATGCTTGGTCAGCCGTTAAAAAAAAATGGTATTAGACAGACACCCAACTGAACACCGATATGTGTATGTATAATAAAAGTTTGCTGACCAAACTGTTAGAAGTAAAACAAATCCTATTACGCCTACAGTGATTCACCAACAATTCATGGAAAATCACAATTATTGGAAGACTTTGCTACAACAAATTTTATAACTATAAAATTCGATTACAATGAGGGGATAGTTTGCCATTTACTCTAAAAATAAATAAAACTAAAATTGGAATTGTCTGATTTTAAAAACAACAATCAAATGCGAAATATAATAAATCAAATAAAAGACCATTTTTTACAGAAAGGCAAAGGCAATCAAAGAGGTGAAGAATAGGAAAACACTGTGCACAAAGCGAAGGAAAGAAAATTATTTCCTGTCTTTTTGGGCATTTACAGGCTAATTAATCCCCCCATTCGATGGCCAATTGACAAGTTCACCAAAAAAGGAAGTCATTAGTGGGTCTCTTCATTCTCTCTCTTTCTTTCTATATTCCCTCTCTCTTTCTTTCTCCCTCTGTTTACTGCCGGAAGATGACGCTTAGCGCGTGCTACTGAATCTACTAAGCCTACTAAATCTACTGTATCTGCTAAGCCTACTACACCACTGAATTTACTAAAGCTACTGACTGACCCACGCCCATTTTGCAACCCACACACATGTAGACCATAACAATGTAAAGTGAGCCAATTAGGCGGGAAAAACTTAAATCGAATTCGAGTTAGTTTACATTGCCTGCCCATAAGTTGTATGTGGGTGGTTCCAGTGGTTAAGTGGTTCGGTGTTTCGGTGGTTCGGTGGTGCAGCCCACGTGTTTCCCCAACGGAAGTGGATTGGATTGGAGGAGGAGGGCGGTACTTTGTGGGTGTCCACAGGTCATTCTGGCGGTGATATATAGCCAACTGGTGGATTCACGACAACAAGTGAAAGATGGGGAAGATCGTGACAGGTTCATTGAATGCATATATGCAAATCAACGCTTAGATAGTCAAGGCGGATATATGGTCTTAATATTGATTGTTGTTAAAACGCTGATTTTTGTATAATATAACCAATTAAATCAAAAATTAAACTAAACTATTTATATGTTATAAGAATTTAAGTTTTTAAAATTGCAAAAAAAAAAAAATGTGCTAAATATAAAATGAAATAAATATGTTTTCTAACAACCTATTTTCGGTAACCAACCTTTGCAACCTTTGCTCAATCTATTTCCCCCTTGTTTTTTTTTGTATCTCCCGCATCTCGGCCATTTTTAGGCGAATCTCTTAGTCTTTTGCCATGACTTGGCAGTCTGATTTTTGGTTACATAAGCGGCTTAAGTTGGCCAGCAGCCGAGAGATGGAAAAGATGAGGAAGAACTTGCTACGGGGAAATGCGAAACCTAAGACGAAAATCCAATGACTTAGGCGACAAACTGCCAGGGAAATCTACCTTCCTTCCCCTTTCCCCTCTCCTTATACCCCAGCCACCTTTAAATTTTCTTTCTGCCACTTTTTTGACCAACAACCAAATGAATAAAATGTGCTTGTGAAAGTTACCAAACGAAACCAACCAAAAAATGCCCAAATAAAATTTCCCTTCGAAGCAACAACTATTCGGCTATAAGTCGGCCATAAAAGAAGAAGAAGAGGCAGATAAATTAAAAAAAAAATAAATGTTAACTTTGATCATAATTTATGCTGAACCTGTTGCTGCGGCTTCGGATATTTGTTGCTGGTTAGCAACATTGGATTTTTGTTCGATCGCCGCAGCTGCGCATATTTGCTGTTGTTGTTAAGGCCCCCAAACCACTAAATATTACTATACACATGTACAAATTGTATACGACTCTGGTTTTCATATGACAAAATACGTATACGATTTTCAATTTAATACATTATTTTGTGTGCTTAACTTTAAATTGCACTTTATTTACAAATATAATTTCTTTGAATTTTATTTCTTTTTTAAATAAGTATTTTTGTATTATTTTCATATTTGTTTTCATATTAGTTTTTAATTGAAGTATTAGTAATTAATTTCTAAGTTGATTACATAAATACAAATATAATAAATACTTTGAGAAAATGTTATTTTTTTATATTGTTGATAAAAGGAATACAATTTAATCGATCCTTAAAAATGTTTTGCCTTGGAATGTTTACTTTTATTTTCTCCTAAGCTATATGAATTTTATTTTGTGTGCACTTTATAGCACCCCCACCCCCTTCGACGGATCCATCGCAGCCTCATTCGAATTGATTAGCATACTAGTTTTATTTATGTGGAGTTTCTTTGTGGATATAGTAAATGTGCAATACATTTTCACGAGTGAGCTGGCTTTGTCTTTGGCTGTGTGTCACTTCCGCGCTTTAAAGGAGACAACCACCACCCACTAAAAACCCCCTCCCCCCCTTATGCCCTTCGCCCCGTGTGAGTCTCTTAGTCGAGCGTAAAACAATTGCGGCACGTTAGGGTTAATGCTTGCAACGCGCTGACTGACATAATTAAGTTAAACAGAAAACACAACAAGAGCACGTAGGCGGAGGAAATTCAATTAAATTAAAGCGAAATGTTTAACGAGACTTGTGACAACATGAGGAAGGGAATGGAAATGGAAATGGAAATGGAAATGGAAATGGAAATGGAAGGAGATACATGCAATACAGCAACAGTTGCACAAGCATTTAGATATTTCTCAGGATAAACAACAAGCTGGAACCGTGACAGGTAGAAGAGGAAAGCAGGTAGATATGCACACAGATCCCTTTCTACGATCTCCCAGCATTATTGTGTCACGCTCACATAAAGCATATCCCATGCTATATGGCACACTGAGCAATCCAGGAAACAATAGTCCGTAAAGGGATCTCATCTGGGGTTTCGATCCGTTCTGCGGTAGGCTCAAGTGCTGTCCCGCTGAGTGAGCCAGGATATAGCCTAAGCCATCGATCAACCCTCGCCTCTCACAAACACGCACACACACACACAGAGAAGCCTAGAGTCCCTTGAGGTTTGTTTAAAATTTAGCAAATCAGCTATTTATACCATTCCATCACAAAACGGATATAATTTACAAAAGCATTCATTCATTGAATATATTGATTTTATATCATACATTATTATAAATTATTTAATAAATATATTGATTTTATATCATATTTTATTATAAATGTTTTATTGAATATATTTATTTTATATCACATATTATAACAAATTATTTAAAAAAAAAATTGACTTTATATCATCATTTGAATCAAACACAAGATTAAAAATTTACCAACTGAAACATATACATCTTTTTTTTGGCGTATTCAAGTACTAGTGCTAGTTACAGGCACAGTTTTAGTAATAGTTATCGTACTCGCTTTTTTTGATTATGTAATTCGCGTAAATGGAACTGGTCGCTTTATAAACGCCTCACTTTTCGCCGTGTTTGTTTTTCTTTCACGGACTTGCAAGTTTTTGGGTGGGGTTGAGGTTGAGTAAGGTCCGTTGTTACATGATCATCTTGTGCGACACATTTGCACTTTATGCCATCGCTTGCCAACCTTTCCATCGACTGGAGTTTTGAGTTAAATGGAGTTTGGCACGTTTATTATAGGGGATGATCGCATGACAGCTTGATCTTCAAGATCATCATTGGCTTAATTTTCCCGATAATTGTCAGCGATCGATTCGTTTTTATCTTCATTTTCCAATCCATGTGGCACGTGATGGGTTTATTCACAATTAAAAGACATGATTTCCTTTCCTTTTGTTCTTTTTTTTGTATTATTCGGACTTTCTTCTTTTATCTTCTAATAATTTCCCTACTTCTTGCAAACTTTCTATGAAAAGTAGGTGCGTTTTTAACTAATTTAATGGCAACTTACTTGCTGTAAACTTCAAGACTAGCCTTACCATTTTTACGTACTGATTGCAGACATATTCTTTGAGCTCTTTTTTTATTGCCAAAACGAAGGATCTCAAATACAATTCTAGAAACATTTTATGGTTTCGGTTCCTTATAATAACAAATCGTATTAATAAATTTTTGATCATTAAAGAGCTGTATTTTGATATTTGTGACCTATCTATGGGTACTCTTTGGCTTTCAATTCTCAGCT